GGTTTGGGACTTCAACATATGAATTCTCAGGGGTCACAATTCAGTCCACAGCAACTAATGTCCCATGGCAAATACATAAGATCTGAAGGTGAACCCAAACTTGAGCCTGAGTCCTGCCAGCATGCTCTGTTGTCTCACTAATCCACAGATGCCCCAAAGACATCGTAGGAGAGTGCAGGACTTGGAGCTGGTGGCCACACACATAGATTTAGGGGTGAAAGAGAGCTGGGCGCCAGCTCCGTGTCTTGGGGCAAACTGCTCCCCACTCTGCAAAGTGGGGGCTCTACTAGAGGTGTTCAGGGCAGCAGGGGTACCAGGAAGATTTTGCAGAATGATGCTTCCACAGAGGAAGCCTCCACAGTAAGTACCATGCATGCTAGGGACTCCATCACTGATGTGTTCCAAGCACCTTGCACCGTACTTGATAAACACTGCAGATGGAGTTTTCGACTGTTGTTATTATTGGCCAGAATGCCGGGGTGTCACCATTAGAAGACTTTGAGCAAGATTCTGAACTGGGTGAGCCTGCTCCCTGCCCAAGGACAATGGTGATATCGACCATCAGGGTTGATTGGGGGATCGCATGAGATAATCCAAGGAAGGTCCTTATCCAGCAGTGCCTCACAAAGGTGAGGCATCATAAACTGCCGTGAGGAAGGCTTCCTGATCTGCTCTGTGCTGGATGTGGACACAGTGGGAAGGTGATATACAGGGAAGGAATGCTGTTCTGAGGGAGAGAGGAAGCTTGAGTGTTCACCCCAATCACACCTGCAAGGACAACCTTTGCTGCTGTCTGGGTTCGTTCTCTGTGTCTACACAGTGGTGCTGATGGGGGCACGGGGCTTAGCGGACAGCAGACTGGCTGCTCTCTGCAGACCCTCCCCAGTGCTCAGCATTAGAGTCTAAGAGGAAGGCAGAAGAGGTGGGAGTGGTGGCCAGTGTAGACAGTGGCATTGTTATGTGTCTTAGAAGATGGGCTCAGGTGTGGGGCAGGCTGCTGGACTCAGGTGTGTTGTGGGGGGAATCCTTCCCTTGAGGGATAGGGCCCCCCCTGACACAGCCCCCTCCTTAGGGAATTCTGGTAAATTCCCAGGGACTTTGTGCACTGCAAAATGTGTGATGTTGTACTCTGCTGTGGGAAGAGACGGGCCACCAGTCTGTCCCATATCTACTTCTGAGGACATCACAACGGGCCCAGGGGGTGGTGCCAGCCTGCCCCTGGACTGGAGACTAAGGCCTGGATATCCCTTAACTGACCATCTGTCATAAGGCAGATGAGGCCTGGCTGAATGGGTCCCTGGGAAGCTGGTCCCTGTCCAGCCAGGCCCCTAGGCAGGGGTATTTTTAACCCAAAGCAGGGAGATCTATATGGGGGAAGCTCCCCTCACTGGTAGCTGCTCTGGCAACATGCTCGCTGCCCATCTGCCTGTGCTGCCACCCCCACGGTACCCTCCCTGCCACTCCCAAAGGAATGCAAGCACCGACACATGGTCTCTGAGTCCGCTCGGGCTGGGGGACCCTGAGGGTGGTCACGGGCAGGAGGTGTGACACCAGGGCCCTTCCAAAGATACTCCGGGCTGGGCACCTCATCACAGCCTTACGGCCCCACCAGCTACTGTCCTCTCTCTTCTCCCAGTGCCCAGCAGGTGTTGTCTACACGGAGTGCCCACTTCCTTGCCCTCATCCCCCCCAGCTACTCTCTTGAGAGTACTCTCACCATACCTGCCAGTAAACTCGGTGTGGTCAAACCCAATGGCCGCTTCCTGGGCCTTAAAATAACTGATGTGTCCTCTCCCTTTAACACGGCCCAGCCCTCCCAGTCTCCAGCTTCTGTGATACTGTCCCAGTCTTCCTCCCACGGCTCTGACAGCCCCTCCTCCACCTTCCCCAGGGGACCATTGGTATTTCCTTGCCTGGGGCTCTCCGAAGGTCCCGCGTCTCAGAAGCTCCCTCAGTCAGGGCAGACGGGGGCCACTGTTGAGACTAGACCCACTCCTGACCACTGCGACACTCTACATCTCATTCTTGCCTCTCTTCTCAGCCTCCATGCTGTCTTTGGGGGTTCTCACCTGTTTCTGTGGCTGCAGCCACCGGCTGGATGGGAATGATCCAGACCCATCAGTCAACTTCCCACGGGGCACCTCTGCTCTGATGTCTCCTGGCAACTCAGATTCACCGTGCCTACATCTGACCTCTCCATGTGATGCCCAACAGCTTGTCTTTCTGGTCTACCACTGCAGTGAATAGCCTCACCATCTACCCAAGGGCTACACATTTTCTTCTCTCTTGGCCAGTTAATGGCCTAACTTTGCCTCCCAAGTCCCTTGACGCTCTCCAAATATTTGATCCCCACTGTCACTCCCATACTGCAGGTTGCCATCAGGGCAAAGTCTAGAGGGGGTGTCAACAGTGATTATTCCTGGGTGATAGTATTATGGGTTGAATTGTGTCCCCCCCAAAAGGTTTGTTGAAGACCTAACCCTGGCATCTATGAATGGGACCTTATTTGGAAATAGGACCTTTGCAGATATAATCAAGTTATGATGAGGTCTTTAGGGTGGGCCCTTCTTCAGTAGGAGTGGGGTCCTTATAAGGTGAAGAAAATGCCACGTAAAATAGAGACACACAGGAGGAACACTATGGGATGGCAGAGGCAGAGACCTAAATTAGGACTTTGCAAGCATAAGAATGCCAAAAACTGCAGGTCATCATCAGAATTTCGGAAGAGTCAAGGCAAGATTGATTCTACCCAGCATCTCAGAAGGAGCGTGATGACATGTTGATTTTGGACTTCCAGCCTCCAGAGCTGGGAGAGAACACAGCTGTGTTGTTTGAAACTACCCAGTTTATGATCCCCTGTTACAGCATCCCTAGGGACCTACTGGTGTGAGCTATGGATAATTTTCTTACTTATATTTTTCAGTATTTTAGGGATTATTGGTAGTGGAGACATAGACCTTTATGATCAGGAAAAACAGACTTACTCTTAAAAAAAAAAAAATCCTCACTCAGCGAGAATCCTAAGCACTCTATTGGATTTATCTCTGAGAATCAAAACTATCTACACCCACACAGCTTACTGATCACATCAGCATGGCTTTATTATTCCACTGTCTTCCTCACTATAGCTTCACTATTCCAGGAAACTCTTGCTCAGGAAGATAAAAGTTGCAAATAAAATAAGTTTATTGTTCATTTCAGGAACTTTGCAAAAAACATTTAAACAAACATCAAATTGTTCGACTTTTTAGCAGATAGCATCAAATGACTGTCTACTCTCCCAGGCTCTCCCAAACCCTGGCCTTGCTGTGCCCAACGATCCTAAATTACCGTGTGTCACGGTCCTTCAGTGTCTTAACACACTCACTTCCCCAGTTTCATTAGTTGTTGTTTTTTTTTTTAATGTTTATTTTTGAGAGGGAGAGAGACAGGGCACGAGTGGGGGAGGGACAAAGAGAGAGGGAGACACAGAATCCAAAGCAGGCTCTAGGCTCTGAGCTGTCAGCACAGAGCCCGATGCGGGGCTCGAACTCCCAAACTGTGAGATCATGACCTGAGCTGAAGTCGAAGGCTTAACCGACTGAGCCACCCAGGCGTCCCCACAGTTTCATTAGTCTTAATGAAAGACCCTGAAAATGTAGATAAAACCTGTCTTTGCCTTTCCCTTTCTGAGAGGTTTCTCAGACTCAGTCAAGGGAGAGCATCGCTTCCCAGGGTAAGAAGGAAACTCGGCTCTGTTTTATCAGCAGCTTGACGTGGTGGTATTTTCAGGCTTTCTGCACCTAACATACCCAAAATATTGCATTTATTGACTGCTCTCTATGTGCAGAGACTGAGCTAAGACCTTAACATATACTATTTTAGGGCATCTGCTAAGTGAAGTGTTAAAAGATAAACTGAGCCATATCAAACATTTTAAAAGTTTCTTTGAGCAGAAATTGCTTCCAATTGGGCAGCATCCAATCTAACAGGTAAGAAAGGAGCTCCAAAGAACCACACAAAAGACAAGACTTTTATGCCCAGAAGAGAGCGGAACAAGGATGTTACACTAGGCAAAAAAAAAAAAAAAAGCAGGCTGGCTCTTGCAAGGTCACTTTCCTTCAGGGGAAGGCGGGGATCTATCAGGCAGATTACCTAACCAGTGCTCCTCAGACAATTCCCGATTGACTGGTTTAAGATGCCCCTTCTGGGAGAGCCAGGACCATAATTAAGTCTCGGTTTGGTGACATGATGGCTTAGTGTAAGTGCCTCCATTCGGGGCCTGTTGTCTGTTTTTAACAAACCCCAAGCAGTTGGAAACGATTCCCGTTTTGAAGCTGGGGAAAGAGGCTCACCGACGTCAAGTGGCTTGCTGGATTAATGAAGCAGAGCCCAGCAAAGCCTGCTTAGCCTCCTAAGCACCCTTCTGCCTCTCTGGATTTCGTGAGATTGTAATACAAAATACACACATTCCGGTGGCTGGCTACTTGGGGAAACTGATGGCCATCTGCTCCCAGTTGCTCCGATAATTGCCCCAAATGGACAGACCCCACTCCTCCTGAAAGACCTCAGCGGGCAGGCTTCCTGAGACGAGTCACTACAGATGCCATTCCTGTCACACCAGCCCTGGGCCTGAAGTTAACCAGGAAAGGCAAATGGGCTTCAGGGGAGAACAAGCAATTGTTTCAGGCAGGCACATTTCCCACAAAGCCCTGGTGCAACACGTTAGCTGGGGAGGAAGAGCCAGACCCTCGTACAGCGGCTGGAACACACTCTCCATGTCGTGTTCACACATCCTCTATTCAGATGCCACATGGTGGGACTCCACACCAGCCCGCAGACCAGATTCTTTTCTTCCCCCTCAGTAGCAAATGTACATGTTTGCTCTCACGTAGGCAGAATTTGCCCATGGGTGGTCTTTGATTTGGAAGAAATCAACCAGGGTGGTGACTCACTAAAAAACAAAGGTGGCTTGACTCACTCTGCTGGGGAAGGGGATGTGTGTGCAAAATTTCACTTACCCAGAAGAAGAAGTTAAAGACGAAGAGTAAATACTTCAGGTAGACAAGCAGCCAGTCGTCCTGCTCAGCCTTGTAATGGGCCATGGTCGGTGGGCCTGCAAAGACGACACACGTGTCAGGTAGAAGGGGGGGGGCAGACCATGGGGGAGCCACTGCCCTCTTCCCAGAGCCAGGACTCCTGACTAGCCCATTGGGCCAGGTGGGTCTGAGGCTGTGGGTATGTAACCTGGAGAAGGATCAGGGAAATCCAAAGGCTGTCGGATGCACAATAGAGGTGAACTGAGCAGAATTTTCTAGACCCTTTGGATCTTGGTTTTGCCCTTTTGACCTAAATCTAACCTATAGGTCTTCCTACAGACATTGCACTGACCTTGTTGTGTGCTCTGATTCTCTTCTCTGTTTCATCAGGGCTGCAGGACACAAATTTACCTGTCCTACACACACACACACACACACACACTCACGCACACCAAGTGTGTCTGGCACTTGGCCCCAGGGTCTGGCACTCTGCATTACTTGAGCGGGACCCCTTTGTGCACAGGCGGGGCATGAGCCCCAAATCAGACAGTCTAGGCTGGAAAGAACATCAGCCTCAGCCAGTCCACCCCACCTGTCCCCTGCACCTCGACTTTCCCCGTGAGGAAGCAGGTCAGCAGGCCTGGTTGTTTGGCAGGAAGACAAGAGCTCTGGAGTCTGACTCCCTGGGTTCAAACCCAGGTCTGTCACAAGATACGTGAGACTTTGGGCGAGTCATTAAACTGCTCATTCTTCAGCATCCTCACCTGAAGATAATAATGACACCGATAGCGCAGGCTTGTTTGGAAGATGAAATGTGATCATCTACGTGAGGTGTTGAGCATAGTCCTCAGCACACAGTAAGTGCTCCATAAATGCTAGGTATTATTATTATATGCCGCAGGGATTAGAACCCAGGACTCCAGCTCCTCAATTCCTAGCTTTTGCCCTGGAACCATGCTCCCTCTGCGTGTCCGACTGCCCACCGAGGGACCCTCTGGGAACCATGACGTCAGTGGGGTGACACACGTACAGGAGCTTCGCTGTGCCCGGTAATTCCATTTGCTTCCCAGGAAGTCTGGACAACAGCCTCCGTAGCTTCCTCTTCCCCTCAGCTCCACTTCCCCCGGCCCCGCCCAGGCTCTAACACGCACAGAGCAGCTGCCCTTTAAGAAACCGGCCCCCTCGAGGGGACCTTTCTAATTCAAGAGCCATAGCAATGGGGCACTGGTTTTGCTCATTTCCACCCTCTACTCCTTCATTCCCCATCTCCAGTGAGGCCCTCGCTGCCACCACCCTGCTCCTGTTCCCTGGCCGGCATGGGGCCGAGCCCACCTAAGTCCTCCTAAGCTACCGCTCTGCCTCTTATTTCAAGCCCAGAGACCCCGAAGACAGGGAGAGGAAGAGGAAAGAAAAGGTGGCTGTCTTCTTTGGGATTTCTATTTGTAGAACCTGAAGAAGGTAATTTAAGACTTTTAGTCTTCTGGTTAAAAAAGGACAAAACCCATTTTTCTCCGATTTTGTCTCAGAGGCAGTGTGGGGGACAAAAATACAGAAGGAGGAAAAAAAAAAGGAAGCTTACCAAAAAAAGTGTGAAAAATGGTGACAGATGGGGTCAGCTGGGCCACCAGAACAGGAGCTATTACACGGTCATTCCGCAGGTGGCCCCAACCAGAGTCTCTGGGCCACTGTGGGCCGTTAGCAAATGGACAGTTGGTGTGGGGCCCGGCCTCTCCTGTCTGCATCTTTCACAGAGCCAAGCTATAGGCCCTTCCCTAGGTCTGTACACCAAGCGTCAGGACCTGCAAACCAAGGGGCCAGCATCCTCTAAAGGAAAACTGTATTTTTAAAAAAGGAGTTGAGGCAGGGGCGCCTGGGTGGCTCAGTTGGTTGAGTGTCCAACTTTGGCCTGGGTCATGATCTCACGGTTTGTGGGTTTGAGCCCCACATCAGGGTCTGTGCTGACAGCTCAGAGCCTGGAGCCTGCTGCGGATTCTCTGTCTCTGCCTCTCTCTCTCTCCCTCTCCCCAGCTCATGTTCTGTGCCTCCATCTCTCAACAATAAATAAATATTAAAAAAAAAAAAAAGGAGTTGAGGCAGAAGACAGAACTTAATTAAAAAAAACACATTTCTAATGGTAAAATTTCAGGTATTAGTGGTAGAAAAGATAGAACTGGACTATCAGGGTCAGGGGGGAAAAAAGGCTTTGGGCTCATTAATTCAAACTTCTGCAGAGGGAATGAGGAAATTAACATTCTCTAATGTGACATGGCTAATTGGGGGTAGCAGTTTCCTATCCCCTCCTGCTCAGCCTTCATCTCCCACCACATCCGCACTGTATGGAGGGCCCTGTGCCAGAGGTGGCGGAGACCTCAGAGACCCTGCTTCCCAGCTTAGAGCCAGATGCTTGGATTTGAAAGATAACCTTGTCATTAATCAGCTGTGTGACCTTGGGTAAGCTACTTAACCTCTCTGAGCAGCTAACATTTATTGAGCATCTGTTATGTGCCAGGCACAGAACTAAGTGCTTTATACGTGTTATCTTGTTCCATCTTTCCAACAGCCCTAGGAAGTAGGGTAATTCTCATTTTTGAAAGGTAAGGAAACTGAGGCTTAGACAAGTTAAATAACCTGTCCAAAGTCACACAGGAAGTAAGTGCCAAAGCCAGGAGAGGGTGAGGAGCATGTGACTGAGCCCAAGCTCTTACCCACTGTGCAGTGCTCTTGGGACTCAGGCTGCCAGGAGAGGGGACAAAGGAGAGGGCTGGCTCCTTTAATACTTATTCTCCCCTTTTGCCTTCTGAGCAGAATCCCTCAGTTTTGGTGAGCACTGGCCACCTGGAGTGGATGACATTTCCCAGCATCCCTTCCTGCTAGGCGCAGCCAGGACTGACTGCTGGCAAATGGCATGGAAGTGGAAGTGGTGTAGTCAGCTTCTTAGAGGTATCATTTTCGGGGTGTATGTGTCCTGTGCATTTGAAAAAAAAGTAGGGTGCAGAACTCTCTGTGTTAATTAGGCCAAATCTGCTAAGAGCACTTTCCATATCTATCCCTTTACTGCTTTTGTGTCTGCTGGCTCTCTAGTCTGTTGAAAAGGTGTCTTACAGGCCCTCATTATGACCATGAATTTATCTGTCCTTTGATTCTGTCCATTTTTCTACATGTACTTTGCAGTTGTTTTATGGCGTGCATACAGACTTGCAGTTGTGATATCATCCTGGTAGATGGATCCTGTTGTCATTAATAAATGTCAGTGTTTATCTCTAGTGACCAGAAATATCCTTAAAGCGAGGGGGGTGGGGCATGCCTCCTTCCAGCCTGAAGCTCATGTAGCCATTTTGAGCCATTAGTTGAAAAGAGTGATCAGTTTAAAAAAGCCTGGGTCTCAGACAGTCTGGGAGCTATACAACCTTCCTCAGGGGACAAGCACACACAGCTTCCCTTCTATTCGATGCACAATGATCCTTTACCCTATAGGTCTTCTTCTAGCTGCTTCCCTGAAGCTGCTTCCCTTCTCATTTGAAAATACCTACCCGAGTCTCCATTTCCTCCCCTCCCCTGGATCCCACCTGGGATCCCACCTGCATGCTGCACTGATGCCCTTCTCTGGCAGAGTGAATCCTCTCCCAGCACAGGGCACAGAGGTCCGTGCCCTCCCCCTGGCTTCTGGAACCCTCACTCTGTTCTCCAGTCCTTCCCCTTGCATGTCAATCTCCAGCATAGCTTCTTCTTCCTCCTCCTCCCTGGGGTTGTCCCCCCTTCTCCACCCCTCCACCCCCCGCCGTGTGCTGCCTCTTAATTGTACTCCCTACCTGTCTATAGGTATCTGTCCCCTGCCCACCATCCCTGCTGGCAATGGCCTGGTTGACATCTCACCATCTCCTTGGATTTCACCACTAACTTTTTTTTTTTTTTTTTTTGAGAGAGAGAGAGAGACAGAGACAGAGACAGCATGAGCAGGGGAGGGTCAGAGAGAGAGGGAGACACAGAATCCGAAGCAGGCTCCAGGCTCTGAGCCAGCTGTCAGCACAGAGCCCAACGCGGGGCTCGAACCCATGAACCGTGAGATCATGACCTGAGCTGAAGTTGGACGCTTAACTGACTGAGCCACCCAGGTGCCCCTCAGCATTAACTTCTTAACTTCTCTCCGGGCGCCTCATCGGGGCCTAGCCCCTCTGCAAAATGCAAGCCTTATGAAGGATGGCCTCACTGAACACCCTCCTGTGGTTCTACGTCAGCTTCAGGACATCAACTGCCCTTGACTCGACTACCTAGTGGCCCAGGACAGGTGGACGGGCTGGTGAGGCAACTACCTTCCTAGGAGCATGGGCACTCCCAGCCCACCTGCCAGGTGGCTCTGGATGGGATTCCCGGCAGATAGACGGCTGCTCTGGTGGACACCCCCCTCCAGGACCTAGTTTTCCTCGGTCTCCCCTCTGGTTAGCAGGTAACACACGGGGACAGCGGCAGTGGGGGCGATGGGGGGGATGGGAATGGCTGTGGCGGCCTCCGGAGAGGAGAAGAGCAAACACGTGTCCCCTGACCTGACAGGCTGGAGGCAGCAGGGCTTCAGAGCCTCCAAGACCATGTTCACTGAGCTCTGCGGGATGTCTGAGGATTTGGGGGAAACAGCTTACCTTCCTAAGTGGGCTTTATTTCTATCTAGACAATGGGGATGTTCTGAGCCAATGGCAGGAGGTGTCCCTCAGTGGCCAGAGGCAGAGACGGTGGGAGCAGGTGAGGCAGAGACACCTTAACCCCCACCCAGAGGGGTGGTCACTCTTTGTTATAGGGGCCTGAGCACAAAGAAGAGGTGACCATCCCTCCTGGAGCCTTGGTCCAGCCAAACTGATCTCTTCTCTGGCCTTTTTCAAGACCTCCCGCCTCGGGGCACCTGGGTGGCTCAGTCAGTTGGGCAGCTGAATTCAGCTTATGTCATGATCTCATGGCTCGTGAGTTCGAGTCCCATGTAGGGCTCTCTATCTCTCTGACCCTCCCCCACTCACGCTCTGTCTCTCAAAAATGAATATTAAAAAAAAAAAAAAAAAAAAAAGACCTCCCGCCTCTCCCTCTGGCCTTG